ATTCATTGACCTTGTTTATAGGTAATTTCATTGTTTGATCACGTTAAAATGTTCCTAATTTGATGTCTAAACGCACTTGGAAAAGGCAGAAACCCATGTAAAGTTAGCGCAACAAACTGTATTGTTATTACTGGAAATAACCGTATTTTTATGAGGAAGTTATTTTCTGTTATTTTACTGTTATTTTACGGCGCCCCAGCTGCCAATATTACAGTTTTTTAAGATTTTTTTTTAACAGTGTAGTAGCTATGAGACAAAAAAAGTAAATAAGATCTTTGACTTCAGGACATTCAATCTCTGACCTGCTCTCTCTTCCTCCTTCTCTGTCCTTCTCCTTAAGGTACCTTACAACAGCTCATTTCTGATACAATGGTGCGCTGGGCTCAGGAGTCAGTTATAGAGGATCCAGAGCTGGTCAGAGCTATGTTTGTCCTACTTCACCGCCAGTATGATGGCATTGGTGGACAGGTTTGTGTGTGTAATAGAAAAGAAAATCCATACCACTGGAATCTCCAAATAAATGTATACAATATAGTCATGCTATATTTGTAACAATCTGATGTGAGAGTTGTTCTTTTAAGAAAATATCCAGCCTGCTCCATATGTGACACACTTCCTGGGGTCCCAAACAACAAATCTGGCAACTGTCAAGTAGATCAGATTGAACAAAACAATTGTTAAGAAAGCAAAAAATGCACATGCAAACAATCCTTGGTGCTACTTTTCAATTTGTTGAAAAATGACCTGCCTACCAGTTCACCAGAGGCAGCTTTGTTCAGATGATGTGGTCATAAATCCACCAGATAATTAAGTCTAGTACAACAAGTTCCACAAGTCAAACAAATATGTGGGACGTTCTTCATTTATTTGCACAGTGTCACTAATATTAGAAACATCCTGTCTCAGAGTGATGCTCTATAAGAACTCCCTGAACCGTCTTCAGTTGATCCAGAATGGTGCAGCAAGAATACGAACTGGAACTTGAAAGAGAGCCCATATTTCTCCCATATTAGCTTCTCTTCAATTGATCCATGTTAAAAGCATTAAATTAGAATTAAAATTTAATTTAAAATCCTTCTGTCCCACATCAGATTGCACTCTCACAGTAACACTACAGTTATTTGAAAAGAACAATGTACGTTGTTAATTTCTGTGTATTCATTTATCTCTCCTTACTTCAGGTACAGATGTGAAATATCATGCTCAGTTTGCACAGTAACAGTGCTTCTGCTTGTATATTAAATGTATGTCAATCAGTTTAATAAGGTATGAATATGTCTGTGCAGGTGCGGGCTCTTCCTAAAACCTACACTATAAACTCCGTATCAATCGAGGACACCATCAACCTGTTAGCGGCTCTCGGTCAGATCAGATCTCTGCTGAGTGTGCGGATGGGAAGAGAGGAGGAGAAACTGATGATCAGAGGGCTGGGGTGAGAGCACGCTTCTCTGTCAGGCTCTTGCGTGTCTGAATGATTTGTTTCCTTTGGAGTACTTTCTTCTTTAGACTTGCTTTAACTCCCAACAAGAAGAGGAAAAATGTAAACAAATATTTATGTGAATGAAAGTTCAGAAACAGAGAAATTACAATTTTGTGCATGTGTGTATATTTGATTTTTAATCTATCTACAGAATGCCCTACAGGCACATAGAAACAAATTCAGATGGACTTTTGTCTTCAAGTATTCTTTTACTTCTTGGGTAACTGCTCAGACTAACTTTAAAGAGTGTCCATGTAAGGATATGGCTTAGGCACACATAATCTGTATATCTCAGTCCAGCACAATAAAAACACTTTACCTATGGGTTATATGCTTTGTCTCAATGGTTTGCAAACCTTTGTGCCCAAAGAACACCTGTATTCATGCACAAAAGTCTTTCTTTTGGTTGCATTTTTCACAGACAATTTGCAGCCTTCCTGTCAGGATTGATACCACTCAACAAACACATTCTATGCCTCGTCTTCAGCACTTTATTATACACTTAAATACAAAGCAACAAATTGTCTTGCATTGGAGTGCATTAGATTGCTTGCCACTAGTAACTTGGTCTGCTTCACATAGCTCAAGTTACTCTAATGTGGTTTCCAAGTCCCACTTTAGCTTGCTTGGCAGCATTTACCAGCTAATCCTGGCAGATAACTGTTGACATCTATAGTCTAGCTGAAGCTACATCATACATGTGCACATGTGTCATATAGGTAACCTTCACATTATTGTTTGCTGCTTTTAGGTGATGGGTCCTCTTCCCTAGTGGCTAATTGTGGTTTGCTTCATACAAGGAAATGATCCTTTTCCCCCCTTATTAATCTCCTTGTAGTCAGTTGGTGGATTTATTGTCACAATGCATGTGATTCCCATTATCCAGCAACTTTGAAAATGCACTCTGGTTCCATTTGACAGATGTTTGATAAGATCAACATTATTGGTGACCCAGATTAGGTTTGAGATTAGGTTTTAAACTAAAATGTGTTACTTTTAAAATGAAGTCTGGTTTTTGAGGCAGCTTTTTCCATTTTAGACATTGTTAGTTGCACTTGACCCAAAACTGTTCCTACTTGGTTTGTATCCAAAAGCCTTATAATAAAAATGAGCACCCATGAACCTCTTTTAAATGTCAAAACCTGAATATCACTGTTGTAATAACAAAACACTCTGATCAAATATTAAACAGTTAATGTATGAAAGAGTTTGAGCTGTCGGTTTAAATCTCACCCATCCTTCTTCCTCTCAGAGATATCATGAACAACAAAGTGTTTTACCAACATCCTAACCTGATGAGAGCGTTGGGAATGCACGAGACTGTCATGGAGGTCATGGTCAATGTGCTCAGTGGAGGAGACTCCAAGGTATGTAGTAGTAATAGTGCTGACTTCGTCTTCTGCTGTATTTCAAACAAATTATGTGTCACAAAATGTTTTAAATATATGTTTTTCCCCTGAATTATTTTCAGATAAATAAACACAAAGGGACATTTTGTCTAAAAACCTGTGATGCACGTGTGTTTTCAGGAAATCACCTTTCCAAAAATGGTGGCCAACTGTTGTCGTTTTCTATGTTACTTCTGTCGAATCAGCCGTCAGAACCAGAAAGCCATGTTTGACCATCTGAGTTATCTGCTGGAGAACAGCAGTGTTGGCCTGGGTGAGTAATGATGACCCAACAAGCATTATTTCAGTTGAATATTAATTATGAAGAGAACAGGAGATGAAGGGATGTTGAAGACATTGTCAATGCATGGTGACCAACATTTACCAATAACTAGCTCAGAATTGTTTTGTTGTTGATTAACGTTGGTAGTTGAGGATGGGCAGCAACTACAGAGTTGTGTAAAAGCTTGAAGATTGACGTTGCAATTTACCCACAAGACATAGAGCTCAAAAAGACAAACATGCGCTTGGTGTCGTTTTGGCGCTCTCTGTCAGGGTGAAAAAATTAACATTGACAAACTGGTGGAGGACTTGAACACAGTCTTCTGTGTAAGCTATGAAACTTGACAGTTTGTTTCAAGTATGGGAACAAAGCTTACTTGTTGTTCCTAGAGCATTTAAAAGTAGAATGGGAGGCAGAGCCTTCAGTTTTCAGGCCCCTCTTCTGTGGAACCAGCTCACAGCTTGGACATCTTAATACGAGATATTTTTGCTTGAAATAAGTGAAAAAATCTGCCAATGGAACAAGTGAAAATTCTCCAGATCCAACATGCACTGTCTAAAAACAAGTTCTTATAACTCACGGAAATGTTACTCTGTAACTGATTGTGTCTTATTTAAGTGTGATGAGATATTTTGACTAGAATATATTAAGATTTTGAGTTTTTGCAGTGTATATTTATATAAATCTTGTCTACTCACTCAAAGCACTTTAGAATACACATTTACGCATTCACACTAACACACATTCGGCGATTAGGTAAATGGTAAATGGACTGGTTCTGATAAAGCACTTTTCTACTCTGAGCACTCAAAGCGGTTTGCACAACTTGCCTCATTCACCCATTTGCACAAGCACTATTTTATGCTTTCCATCTAACATTCACGCTCTGATGGCTCCATCGTAAAACAACTGGGGGTTAGTATCTTGCCCAAGGATATTTGGCATGAAGACTAGAGCAGATGGGGGTTGAACCACCAAGCTTCTGATTACTAGGTGACCTGCTCTACCTCCTGAGCAACAGCTGCCCAGATTGCCACTGACTTTTGGATTGACAGACTACCCTCTCTAGCACTGGGATGTTTGTTGCTTTGGAGCAAATGACTCTCTATTGTGAAAGTTTGTATAGTTGCATACACTTTACATATGTCTTTTCCTCTTCTCAGCATCTCCATCTATGCGAGGATCCACTCCTCTGGATGTGGCTGCAGCATCAGTCATGGATAATAATGAGCTTGCCCTTGCTTTAAGAGAGCCAGACCTGGAGAAGGTGAGGCTGACAAAGACTTAGACACACACAAAAGGAAAACCGTCAATTGTATTAGATATTCTGAGGTCACTTTAGCCTATAGAATAGAAGAGCCCGTTATTGTCACAGCACATGTACAACGAAATTGTACCAACTGTGGTGGAATAAAATACAGTCTGGGGAAGAAGATATGACTTGATTGACCTGAGGTGTCGACCACAGGGCAGCAGGTCAAACGGGTGGTATCCAGGGTGCAAGGGGTCACCCGTGATGGCCCTGTTTTTTCTGAGACAGGAGAATCTGGCGAGGGTGCGAGCTGCCATCTTATGAAGCTTAAGGTCTGTTAAGTTCTTGTTGCCTCAGAGAAAGTTACAAAAGTAGATGGTGAGCCTTGGCTCCATGTATAACCTTCTCCAGCATCTTCCTACACCTTTGAATATGCCACAAAAGCGTTAGTGCTATTAGCTCGTTAATGCGTTGACGCCATCCATCTCGTTAATGGAGATTTGCCGCGTTAATGCATTTATGGTGTTAACATCATTTTAGCCAGTGCAAGCTGGAGGCAAAGCAAACAGAACCAAATGATAACCAATATGTAACAAAAATAACCAGAACCACAGAAATGTTAAAACAATGCTCTGGTTGTATTAAAATATTGTACACTGTATTACAACCGACAACAGTATCCAGTGCTGTTCCTACGCACTGCTGGCCAACGCTTCACTGAGTGAATGGGTTCTTCTTCTTCTTGTCCTTAGCGGGCGACCAGCGGCGG